TTGACTTGAAAGCGGCTTTTGATTCAATATCGAGACCGAAATTGTGGGCCGGCTTAGAAGCTTCCTCAATTGATAGAAGGCTCCTCTTTTTGTTGCGGGCTCTTCATGATAACACCCATTTGCAGGTTAGGCTTAACAGGAAAGGAAATCTATCGGACCCTATTAACACCTATAGGGGAGTTAGGCAGGGTTGCGTACTAGCCCCTTCCCTGTTTAATCTATGTGTTAATGATATAGTAAGTTACTTGGACCCCCCAGTTTACATCCACCAAAACTTCAACAACAGCATGTGTCTATCTTACTGTATGCCGACAATGCTGTCCTCTTAGCTAGAACACCAGTTGGCCTTAGAAGAGCTCTCAGTAAGTTTGCAGACTTTTGTAACAATAAGGAACTAACAATGCTGGGAAAAATTGAAGATCAAAGAAGACGGGGACGGCAAATGATGAGATGGTTAGACAGTGTCATCGATGCAACGGACATGAAATTGAGCAAACTTTAGAGGACGGCGGAAGACAGGAGGGCCTGGCGGGAGCTGGTCCATGGGGTCGCGAAGGGTCGGACTCGACTGTGCGACTGAACAAGAAGAACCATGCCTGTCCAAGGGCTGGATTGCCGGGGCAAGCCAAGGGAAGGCAGTTTAAACTGCCTTCCCTTCAAGCCAAGGGAAGGCAAGGGGGTGAGGCCTAACATGCTAATGAGCTGCATGGTTAGGGGTGTGGCCTAATAGGCTAATGCATTTCTGCTGTTGGGTATGGCCTATTATGCTAATGAGTTCCTGCTGGGCTTTTTTTACCAAAAAAGCCCTGGGAAAAAACATATTTCTTGGGCCATTCGTCCTTCACCACTTTCAGCTGTGGTTTTTGTCATGTGTGCAAAGGGAAGAAAAACCTCTAGCACGCCACTTTTTCTAAGGAACTTTATGAAAGGGTATGCCAGGAACTGAAGGAATGTTCTGGATTCCCCCCCTGTCTTCCACTGTCCCCATTCCCCGCCGACCAGTTATTAAAGCGGAGCGTTTGTCCTGCACCCATTCACTTCCATGATGCTTACGTGGAAAAATTCCAGAGGGATTGAGTCCCACAGCATGTATGTGTCTCTCTCTGTGTGTGTGTGTATGTGTGTGTTGCCACCTTGGATTTTCCAACACTCAGGTCCCAAAATGTCTTGGCGTGCCCACTATCGATACGGCGGTGGATTGTGATGTAGGGAGGGTCTGTGGCATTGATGTTCTCTGAGGCCGCTCCGTTTCCTTTGACTTGCTGGCAGACGCAGCTTTACCTTTTTGTATTTTGCATCTCTTCAACCAAAATCCAGAGGAGTGACTGGATCCTGCAGCAGAAACCCAAAAAGGTTCTGCAGGATACAGCCTGTTTCATCAGGTACAGGGAAGCCTCTATCTGTGCTTCATCCAGGTAAGATATCGTAGGCATTACGCTTATGCCAGATATCTGTGAGTTCAGCTGATCCTGTCTACTGTGAATTTACATGCACTCACGTTGAAAAAAATTTCTGGTCTACCTTTCAAGGCGGCTTACAGTAGCAATTGAAGTTTTATTGCATAGAATTAATGATAGAAAAATACTCTGCAGCTATCATGTAAAGATAAGCCCATTTAACAATCTTCAGGCAGCTATTATTGAGCTGTTATTGAAAGAAAAGACTTGTTAACAATGTCTTGCATCCCTTGCAAAACTACAGGGTAGAAGTAGCCTTCCTCATTTCCTTTGGAAGACAATACAGAGAATGGAGCTACCACAGAGAAAGCCCTGTTTCTGGCCCTCACCGCACTACCAGTAAGTCCTCCTAGCTT